CTCTCCCCTGATTTCCTTAAAATAAGATTCATTGATTGACTTATTCCCTCAAAAGCAGAATTTCTGAAAGAAGATGCATCACTAATAGTCGGCTATTAGGTTTTGACAAGTACTTTGTCCAAAATAACCATCATGTAATCAAGGTTAACATACATCAACACAAGTCTTATATGCCAGCTATTAATTGAATTAAAAAGAGATTAAAAATTATCTTCCCATAACTAGCCATGTGGCAAAGGAGAAATTTGGCAAATAATCCCTGCTGCACCTTCTAAATTTGAGCAAAAAATTGCAGAAGACAGACATGCTGTACAAACGAAACTGCCAAGCTTCCGAACTCATGGATGGGGACTGAAGCATTTAATCCCTGTGCCCTTCCCTCTTGTAAATGCCCCAAGCCATTCTCCCCGCTTCAGAAATTCTGAGTATGCTACTGCTTATAAAGGAAGGAGGCTCCTTGGCAGGAGCTGATGAATAGTACTCTGCAAAAAAGTGTGTCACAAAGAACTGCAGTCTTGCAAAATGGCTTCTAATCCTCAGTGTTGTCGATGAAGCTCAGCCTCGGCTGCCTTAACTGGAGTCTGTATTGAAAAATATCTTCCATGAAAGTAATTTTTTTTTTCATCTTTGAAGGAAGATGAAAGTAAGCACCTGCCACTAAAAAAAAATTATGAAATGTAGTTGTAAAAAGTCCTACTTTCTACAGTTTTGCATTGTATGATGAAGAGGGAGGGGAATATAAGCAGAGAGATGAGTGCATATCTTGGTTCGGGTCAGGAAAAGAGATTTTATGATGTGTACATGCAGACAATGCACAAAAGTGGGAAAGGATTAGCGAATATGAAGGAAAGAACAGAAGGGGTTTATGTAATCATGCTTTGTAGGATTTCTAGGGAAAAAAACCCACAAGAAGCTCCAAAGCCACTTAATACGTCAATAGCATTTTGATGCTTCATGTTACTCTAAATTAGAATAAATGAGCCAGATTATGAAACTGGCTTTAAATCTTAAAATAAATCCCTTTTGATGTTCATATTTATGCTGTCAAGTAAGCACAAATACCATATTCCCTAAGTTACTTATTTAATATTTTTAAGTTGAAAAACATGTGAAGACAAACTGTTAAACTGGAGTCGAGAATACTTCAATGATTTAGAATACATCACATGAATGAGATATTATTTGAAAGAGGTTAGATACTTGGAGATAGGCTTATACTTCTTATACTTACAGATATTCAAATAAGATAAATTATGAAAATACAGATCTGTGTGTCCAAACAAAACTGCTTTCTAAGGTTGCAAGCACAGTGACAAGGGATATAAAAATCTGGCAACCAGAACCACCAGATGCCTTAAATTGTAATCACAGGTTTTGCGTACTGTAATCAGAGCAACCTTACAGCTGTGTGTTTTAACTGGGCAATTGCCTAAGCCTACCATAAAATGTTTACCTTACCTTTAAGCCCAGAATTAACTCATTTTCTAGTCGTGTGTTTTGGAATAACTCAGTGATAACATTTTGAAAGAAGTCATGCAGTTCTGTAATCCTATTTGCAGAGATGACTTTGCTCAGATTCTCATTCTGATCTCTCTCTAGTGAACCAGGAACCAACCTTGAAGAATTAGGTTTAATATCCACAGTTATTTTATGAAAGAATCAAAGCTCTTGATTAATCTTTCTTTGTTCATCTATTTATTGCCTTCTTTCTTTTTTTTGTGTGCCTTTTTCTAAATTAAAAAAGATGCAATATTTTCAATGCTTTCTCATATGGTAGCTCTCCAATACCTGAGATGTCTCACTCCTTTTTTTTCCTCTGTATGTCCTTTTTTTTCCCCATTGCCCCTTCTAACTGCAGATGTGCATTGAGTCTGCCAGGTGAGGCCATATCCTTGATCTTTATAAAGGCATTACAATACTTTGGTAATGAGGTACTGTGGTACAGAGTCAAATAAAATGCATTCTGGAGATCTCAATTTTCTTTTAACAGAGGTGCATTTGAGCAAAGGTCTTTTCCAAGTTTTCTATAATGATGTCCAGTTCTCCAGCTTCAGTTGCTAAAAGTTAATTTGGACTCATATAAATTGTTTAACCCCCAGATATCTAGCCTTTTCAGAGGGACACATTAATTGTTGTTCTTGGCCTTCACGGAGCAGCATCTAACCTCAGCGAAAAATTACTTATTTTTGACTATATAAAAGCCTTCAGAATTTTGCACCTCTCCTTGGACTATGGTGCACTAAATACCATCTTGCACTGCTTTTTAAATTAAATGATCACTATGCTCCGACATCTCATAGCCCAATCAACAAGGACCAAAGATGTCTTACCATTACTACACAGTTAAAAGCCACTGATCTTACTTCAACAGAAAAGCAGCTGACCTAAAAGATGTCACTAAAGTTCTAAAAATTTCCAACATGTTTGGCCAAATTAGGTTTGTGACTGGGTGGGGGAGAGGAATATCCAGGAGGAAAGGTAAGATAACTTAAGGATCACTTAAGGACTGATCCTGTGAATAGGGAAGAACTCTAATTGCCAGAGTGTGATGGCAATTGAAGATACCCATGTTAAATTATCATGCCAAAACCCAGTTGATTGCATGTTCACTTTTAGTTTTCAAAAATATTATTATGCAAAGAACACCTAAAGGCTGTCTAAAGGCTACTTTTAAATCCTTGTGATACATCTGGGAAGAAGTACACTTATGCAGTAGTATAGTAGATGTGGGTCAAAGCTTGTGCCAGATCTGAAATCTTTGTTGTGCATTGCAGTTTACCAGCTGCATGGGGAGAATGGAGTGAACGCACAAATACTACTTTGAAAGTTTGGTCACACTGGACGAAAAGAAATAATGCTTAATTCAAACTAAGAATATACTTCCAGTTTTAGAGGTTTTGACTTCTTACTACACCCTATTTTCTTAATTTGTCACTTTTACAGAACAACTGTGAAGTCAGAAATAAAAAATCCAGTCCTTGCTCAAGTAATATTTAAGGAGGAAATATTCCAAGCTGATAGATCTGGCAATTGATTTTTAGCTGATCAGAAGTGGAATGGCTATATCTGAACAGTGGTTTGGTAGAATATTAAATCATAAGCTGCTTTTTTCTCACTGCTGTGGAAAATCACCATACAATAATGTTCAAAGCTCCTCCTCACTACAAGCCATTATTCATATCAAGACAGTATTCTCAAAAGAATCTTAAAAAAATATATAATCAAGGTATCAACCTGTTTCACCATTTTCCTTAGATTAGGAATTGGTGGTGGTTTATAGTTTGTGCTTAATGACACTAGCTATTTGTTCCTAGCGAGTATCCTCTTTGTAGGTACAGCATGAAGCTCAAAAATGATTATGGTTGTCTTGCTAGAACAATGTTGGAGTGAAGTGGAAGTTTGATTCTAGAAATTTCTAGAAATGTCCTCAGTCAACAAAAAAAAAGAAATCACGTGGCCAGGATTTTTAATGGAGAGTTCAAACATAAGCAATGACTCATGAAAGAAATATGAAATATTTGCAAAGTTATTGAGAAAATGACATTAAGGAAGCATGGAGAAAAATCAGACTACTTTTGGATAATCCAGACATGTGGAAAGAAAGACTTCATGAAAGGTTGACTGAATTTGCTCCTTGTTATAATTTTCTTGTTGCTTTCCTTGAAAGCAGTGTACTCTTATAAAATGATTACCAAAAAAAGCCTTATTAGTTTAGACATAGAAATTACTTTGGAATCAAGTATTTAAACCAGTTTTTGCATTCCTAAATATTAAGTATTTAAAGTATTTATAGGTTTTCCTACTGTTTCATGTCTTTATTTGAAATTCTCTCTGATAAAAATGTGCACATAACAGTGTTAAATGACATCTGACCTCTTCTCTGACTTCTAGCCACGTGATGAAAAATGCTTTTCAAAATATTTAAGTGTAGATACAGGAAGATGACTAAACTCATAAGCTTTTGTCTTCTAAAAAATTCCCATCACTGCCAAAGCTGGTGAAGCTCCTCTGATGGTTACAATGGTGGGAGCACTAAGGCAGAAAAGCTTCCAAGTGCCTACAAGCATTCTCACTGCTGTGCCTTCTACCTACCTCCTGCAAATCTCTGTTCCTGTCTTTAGAAAATGGGTGGCCACACATTCCTTGTCATATTTGCCCTTCCTCTCACAGAGCTTAACGTTGGGAAACTTCACATAAATGTATAACAGACAAGGAACAAATTTGTTTAGCAAGGCAGCCAGCAGACTTACTGTACTACCCCCCCTTCCAACATTTAAAGAATGCAACTGTCTTCTCTCTTTCCTTTCCCATGTAGCTTGAGAATTACATCCAAGACAGTATGAAGAAAGAAATGGTAGAGATCCAGCAAACTGCAGTGCAGAACCAGACTGCAGTAATGATTGAAATAGGCACAAACTTACTAAATCAAACAGCTGAACAGACCCGCAAATTAACAGATGTTGAAGCACAAGTAAGTAATGAATTTCAACCTAAAAATGCTTCTGCGTCCCAAACACCTACAACTAGACATTTAACACAGTTTAGTGTTAGACTATTCAGCTCAACAATTAGAAATCAATCATAATCAACAGCTCTACCCAGCTTAAGGAAACATTAGTATTTGGTAATACTTAGTTCCATCTCAAGCTCCCTGTTGTCACTTGAAAGATTTCCATTGCAGCAGGATTTGAAGTATGTCCAGCAAGACAATTGTTATATTAATCTTTAAAGACAATGTACTTAAAAATAGTAGAGTATATCCAAGCATCAATTGGGTACTAGGATGCTTTTATACAACCCTTGTTGTATATCTCTGTTGATTATTCTCCTCTCACCACCAGATCTTAGCTAAACGAGGGTTCCTTCAAACTTTGCCTTTGTTCCACTTACCAGGCTAATTGCTTTTTTATATTTAATTTTTTTGGTATTTTAAAAAATGTTTTATCAATAGAAATGCATCTTTTTAATGAATGTTTTCACGGATACTAGAAGTGGGATAACAGTTCATTTCCAGCACAATGCACTGTAATATTGTTATTTATCAGAGGGATAAATAAACCAGAGATGAATCACAAAAAAAGGAATTAGAAGGAGGCTAGTAGAAAAGTATATTCACACAGAAGTAAACTTGCCTACTGTACATATTGTTCTCTAAATGATTTCAAACAAAAAAAAAAGTAATGGGTTTATTTATTGTGTTAATGGAAAAGCATTAACTACAATAAGACATTCTGTGAAATAGAATGCAAATTTTAATATGTTCTAAGGACAAGCCCAATCCATGTAGAAAGGTGTGTATATGTAGTTTTGCTAATATGGTAGGAAAATTCAGATTTATAACTTCCAAAAGAAAGACTGAATATAGTATGTAGCATGTAACATTTTATATAATGTAAATAGCATGCAAAACCTAAAATCTTTGTTAGACATTTTACTATCTGTATAATTCATCCAAGGATTCAATTACATTTTTTAACCTAAAACAAGCCTTTGTGAACTCTTTGATAACCTGATAGTTCATAACTCACAGGTGTGCTGCATTCAACTTTCTGATTGTACTATTCAGGAGCCCAGTATTTTGCACATGTTGAGAGAATGTATTTATTCATTCACAGTAATGTCTTTATGGAAATTATTTAATCATTTTCTGCTTAGAGGAAGAAAATCATCACCGTAACTTTCCTTCTCTGCTTGAAATTACTGATGACTGGGTTAAGGGCTTAATTAACAACATAAGGAAATTAACCAAACAATTGCTCTCTCAAGGACACTTACTTTTGGCAATAGTTTTCAATTACACTTAAGTGTGAAATCGTGTCCTGAATGACTGTTGAACATGAAGGACATGAGTAATCAATTCTTCCTGCCAATGAAAGCCAAATTCTGCTGAATTAAAAAAAGCTGTTCTAAAACAATGAGAAAATATTTCTAGAAAACATGCCTCAAGTAATGCAATCCGATAACAAACCAAAAAGTATCTTCCATGTTTCCTAATATCTGCATTTCTTCATTTAAAGATGCAAATAAATTTAGACAGTAAACAATACATATAGAAAAGGTAACATTAAAATGCAAGGAATGAGTTGACAGAAGTGTGGTCACACGATAAACACTTTAAAATATAATCTGGGATTAAGGAAAATAGCTAAAATTACCTAGTGATTTCAGGATCAGGCCAAGATTTCAACCAGTGAGAGAGATGCAAAATACTTTCTTTCTACACCAGATTGAGAAAACAACTCAAATTATTCTCTGAACAACAACCATAATAGTTCTGGTAATGAAATAAGAATATCGTAACAGGGGAAGGTATGACAGCAAAACTAAAGTACACAGTAACTCTCAGCCATTGGTCAGAAATGTAGCATACTACTGAAATATTCCCAATGACACATGTTAGTGTAACAACAAAATTAGCGCAACTCTGTGTCTTCTTCTTCATTCTAATTCTATGAGCATTTGTGCCCAAATTAAGTGTTCAAAAATATTTTTTTTAATTATAGGCTTAAGTAGAGATTTGCATGATTTCACAACATGAAGAAATTACAATATATTTAAAAGAAGTGTCTTGATTTTCAAATATTTTTATAAATTTTATTTAGGTATTAAACCAGACAACCAGACTTGAACTTCAGCTTTTGGAACACTCTCTTTCAACAAACAAACTAGAAAGACAGATTTCAGATCAGACCAACGAGATAACTAAATTACAAGAAAAAAACAGGTAAGTTTGCCTATCAACCCAGTAAAAAGCTATTCCCTGAAGCGTCTTTCTAATGGTTTTAGAAACAAATGTACTCAAGTAGGAACATAAAGCCTTGTACAGAAGCTCCCCACACCCAGCTATGCTCATTACAAAGGTCATATATTATTTAAGGCCTAGACAATCATGCAGGTTTATTCTTCTTGTGTTCTGTTTATATATCATTCTTCACTATCTAAAGTTTTCCTTTATATGGGGAACTTAAGGTTAAAACTGAAATACTTCTCAGTACTTCAGTTGTAGCCAATTCATATTCTTCTTTAGACTTTTCCAGATGAAGTTATGGATTATGTACCCTAACTCAAACTAACCCAGTGCAACCGCATCTCTAAAATGTTATTTCCATGTAGTACACAGCTGTCCTAATACACAATCAGGTCATTGCCACAACTTTTTTCCAACCTGATCAGAAGAGTCAAATACTACTCATATTCAATGTTCCTTACTAGTCAATCTTTTGAAATTCAGACCGATAACCGACTATTACTCCTGTCCATTTCTGTACCTGGCTGTTGTCCAAAGGCTCACACCTTTTTTCAGCTAGTTTCATTTTCATATCACCAGGGTCTTATTTTACTTTTGGCAATAAATATTTTACAGAGACATCTCAAAGCAGCAATAACAGTAAGTTTTCTCCTTCAAAGCTGTGTTTTTCAATGAGAACCATATGTGCAAAATGCTTTTTATTTTAAAAGAATTAGCTTAAAAAAAACAGGAGACATGTTTTGACATTTTTGTTCACTACTCTACTACATTTATATGTGCTCCCTAAAGATTTTATCTACCAGCTTAATAAAAACAAGCATTCTTATCAAATGGAAAGCAAAGTAAATACTGAATTTTAAAACGTCACTTTTTTTTGTGTTGAACTCAGCAGACTTGTAAAACCCAAGTAAACATGAAAGCATTGTTTCTCACCTAACAAAAGACGATCTGACATTGAGTTAATCTGCTTGAAACATAAGGTTCAGGATTTTTTTCAATAATGGTAATGGATTTTAGGTGAACTTCTCCCTTCTGGCCACGCATCTTTTAACATCAACTTTCTCAGAGGTGCATCAGAACAATTGCCAATGAAATAATCTTCCAGCCAGTCACCTACTTACACCAGCTCTAGAACTGGAGATAGATAACACATCTTCAAATAACTATTTGCAGGTTTCCCTGTCTTAATGCCATAACATTCATTTCTGTTAAGAATATATTTTATTATGATACAGGACATTTGAAAAGTTCCAAGGATCATCTTTTAATAAGTTTCATCTTTTAATAGGATAAAAATATGAAATCCTTCACTATTATGCCTAAAGTCTGAGAGAATGGTATTCAAGACACTTCATAAGTAATGGTTACTTTGGGTCTACATCCATTTTATACTCCCTGTACTTCCAGCACTAATATCCTTTTTTCAGGACCAAACTATATCTTTCCTTTCATAATGTTGAATTATCAAACACCCAATTGTTACACTTTAAAAGCCTGCGATACACACTATACTCTATAATGTTGTTTATTAATGTACTAATTAGTTATATAATAAATTAAAGCATATATATCAAACTAAACTCAGCTTTCATTTAGCTTTCTACTGCATGCATGGCATCAGAGAATGAAATTGAGTACTTATGAAGAAAGAAACTTCTGCAACAGGCTTGATTCTCTTGACATCAGCTCAAAATTGTTTCTGAGGAGCCTAATTGTAATCTTTTATTTAGCTTTCTAGAAAAAAGAGTTCTTGAGATGGAAGACAAACACACACTTCAGCTGAAGTCAATAAAAGATGAAAAAGATCAGCTTCAAGTCCTAGTAGCCAGACAGAATTCTATTATAGAAGAACTAGAAAAACAGTTAGTTACAGCTACAGTAAACAACTCAGTTCTGCAAAAACAGCAACATGATCTGATGGAGACTGTTCATAACTTGCTTACTATGATATCTACACCAAACTGTAAGTAAAAGCAGACATGTTTACATCATTTGAGTGACATTCCCTAATTTGTGTATATTATTACCTATAAAGTCTTACAAGCAGTTTCCTCACACTTCTGCTTCTCAAAAAGTATTTTTTTTTCCCCTTAAATGCTGCATCTGAGTTAACTAACCTATTTTTTAGGGTCGGGGGAGGCAGGGACCAACCACAACATTTATGTGGTTTCTTGTCAACATTTTGCTCATCTTCTGTGGTTTATATTGGTTTGCCTGCCCACTTCTCTAGTGGTTCAACAAAATACAGAGATGCCAAATATCATTCATCTCACATGGCGTTCATTCATCTGGCAGTACACACTCCCTTGACCATATATCTAGGTTAGACTGCATGATGTAGGCCTGTAGCTTTTCTTCCTGGCTCCCAAAGGTTGCTTCTGCCACCTCTCATTGCTCCATGCAGATAGAGTTGATCAAAGAAAGGACAAGTTATAGTCCAAGGCTATTAAAGGCAAAGGAGTCAGCACTTGCCCGGTTTTTAGTGCCCATGTATGCCCCAAACAACAGAAAGCACCAGCCCAGGGCAGCAGATACTCCCAAAAGTCCTCCAGTCTTTCACTGAAGCTTCCCTATTCATCCTAAAAATCCCTCAGCCTAGCAAATTTTATAGGCAATAACCTCACCCCTAAACGCCTGACAGCCCTGCAACAAATCATAGCCACCAAGCATAGCTTCCAAATTTATGCAGATTCACATGCTCCATAAAACTCCACACAAACCATAAGCTGAAGGTTATGGCTAAACAGCATTTGAACAAATGAACAAATTCCTTACCTTGAATTTCCTGTCTGATACAGAACTTTGACAAATTAAGAAGGTACAGCTGTTCTATATAAAAGAGTAAAGAATCTGGCATGTTTGCCTGTAAAGTTCTCAGGGCTGGAAATACACAAGCGTATAGAACCTCAGAAAAAAGGATTTAAATTAAATACTAGGAAAATTTTAAAATAGCTGTCATTACAACTTAAAAGACAGTATAGATGGACTATGCTACATTACTGTAAGTTGGATCACAAAAAAGGAAAAGGGAGTTCAGAAGTCCTTCCTTCAGTAGTGTCCAAAATAATGATGTTGTAGGTTTTTCTAAACAAAGTAAAATTAAGAGAAGTTTTTTTGTCTTAATAACTGACACTACCCCTTAAATACCATTACCAAGGCTGTACATGTTCCTG